ACCCAACTCTTCTGACAATTGGGGATGAATAATCCACTTATACGCTTCTTTCAGCTGAACAATGTCATCCTTTGCCAAGGAAAGGCCCAGTTTTCTGAATCACATACACAAAGAAATAATAACTTGCACAGGCGTCTGTCAAAGATAGATACATGACATACAGTATTTGAAGACAAACTTAAGTAACTAGTCCCAGGTAAACAAACAATGCACAAATAAAAAAGGACAAAAGTACTAAGCATACAGACCATGGCACAAAAGTATGAAAGGCTTTCCAAGACCTCCTATAATAGCACTGAATCTTTGTACTGAATTAACAAAGTGTCGAGGAAACATTAAGGCCAGACCAGGATTCTACATAAGATGCTTCCCAAAAAAAACCTAAGAGTTTGGCAGGGAGTAGCTAAAGGGGTAGCTATTTGAGGTACAGTCAGCTCAAGCCAACTGAGGACTACGTTCTCTCCTCCCAGCCTCTGGCCATGCGCTCCTGTCAGCACTTGCATGCTGACACTACACAGCATGGTAATTAATACCAGTCCACCGATCCCACTTAAAGCAAACCCTGATCCACCAAAAAAAGTTTTGGTTTTCAGCTAGATCAGTGAGATGATCAGCTCTCTGGGTGGTCACATAAGCACATATGACAGAAAGAAAGACAGAAGGTACATGCAGATGGAGGCAAGATCCTTCTGATAGTAAATCAACATCTAGTTCAGCTTAAGTAAACTGTGTATCTGGATCCTGCAGGGCAGCACCTGCAATACTTGTTAAGGAGCCTCCTGTCCAGCTTTCAGCCTAAATAATATCTTGTCTTGCCCTGTTGCTATTTGCCCATGTTTTTTTTTTCACTAACATTTAAAAATAGATTATTTTTTTCTGTGTAAAAGAACGTGCACTGAGAAAAATCATGCCATAGCTTCATGGTAGATCAGAAGTTGCAAAAGTCTTTCCAGAGTTTGCCTGGAGAAGAGCTAAGAAAGAGATATGCACAAAAATCCTTGGGTTTTTTTAAAAAGTAAAATAAAAAAATCATTAAGACTTATTTTTACTGTTAAAAGGGTGACCTGGTCCTTCATTAAAGTAGGGCATGAACTTCAGTGGGCACAAATTCCTAAAAGGAAAAGCTCAGATGATAACCTCAGTTGATGTTGCTGGGACAGGCTCAACTATCTCTGTTGGTACAAGAGCAGGCCACCACTCCTGTGTCTTTGCCTATGGAGAGAGAAATTAAAAGGAGCAGATGCCTGTAAGGATACAAGCATATATGTTATGGTTTAACCATGATTTCAAACCACTTGTTTGGGAACTTACAGAGCAAAGCGCATGCCCTCCTATACAAATGGCACCAATGGTAGGCTATGTGGGCAATAGCTGCCCTACAGGATCTTATCCTCTCTCAAGCAATTACATGAAACAATTGCTTTTAAATTAGTCTCAAAGCAGGAAGCGATTCATCACCTTTCAGTCTAGCTTTCTATGAATATCTTGAAATGGTAGTTCCAGCCAAGATGGCTCCCACCAAAGACTAGTTCAGTATCCTCAACTAACTTTGAGAGAAGTGCATTTCTTTCCTTTTGCTCACAAAGACAATTTATCCATTCAAAACAGCCATAATATGTTCTCATTTGGCCAGGAATGGGAGTGTCCTGGAGTAGACAAAGAATCAAACGTTTAAATTGATTTCAAAGCACTGAGGAATAAAAAAGAAGAGTCAAAACTAACTTGCACCCACTGCACTAATATCTGTCTTGCTACACTACTGAATTTTTACCATTATCTAACTAACAATTTGCAGTCATTATTAACGTAAGCTAAACCTGAAGAGGTCTGTGTTTCATTATGTCTTCCATGTACAAGAAGATTCTGGCTCACAAGTGGCATCATGACACCTCTCAGAACCATTACGCTAACTCAAAGCTGCACAGCCGGACAGACAGCCTGCACTCCAAGTTGAAATGCCATGTCCCATAATCACACTATGAGGCAAAAGAGATAAGAAACCCCAACTAAGGTCAAACCAGGTAAAAAAAAAAAAACAAACACAAAAAAAACAATCCAGATGCCATCTTATCCTTTGTAAGCATCGAGTAAACTGGACAATAGTATCATAAAAAGACTATAAAATCAACTGCTTGCCTTTTATACAGACAAATGGTGTCTATATAAAAGAGTTCTTGTCTGACATACAGCAAGAGCTACGGACAACAAAAAATAATTAAAAACAACCAAATAAAATGACAGCACATCCCAATTCTGAATTTCCTCATGCTTAGTTTTGAAGGTACAAAGTGAAAATCTTGGCCAAGGACAGAGGAAGCAGGTCTACATATTCCACAACTGTTAGCAAAAGTACCTTTATATGAATGCAACAGTCTTAACCTCAAAAACACGGCATTAATTGCTTAGTTAAAATTTTCTCTTAACACATGTGTCTCAGCAGGTCCACTGCATTAAGTGGTTTCTCATTTCTACTATGCTGGAAAAAAGTTATAGTATCTCCCCTTTCTCTAAATCTGGAGAACTCTCTAACAGAAGTGGTATGAGGGTTGCCAAAAGAAGTTACTCACCCCATTTCCTGTTTTACCAGCAGCCAAGCAGCACGCTACAGGTCACCAGCCATGCCCAGGAAGAAGAGAGAAAAAAAAAAAAAAAAGAAAAAGCAAGTCAAATTAAGGCTCAAACCTCCCAACAATTTGAGAGACTGTTAGCAGAAGGAAAAATGTTTTTAAAACTCAGGACAAAAAGGAAATATTAGGATTTTAATTTAGCTTTTGCTTTAGAAGTGGAATGATAGAATTGATGTCTGGTTTTATTTGTAAGGCATCGCTTTGCAATTCACCTCAAATCCTATCTGGCTTTAAAAAAAAAGGTCAGGCTGCATTAAACACACTTTGAAACTTGATATTAACACTATAACTAGAAAAAAACTTTGACAGCCTAAGTCAAGTGCAGCTAGTGGTTATCTACCACACAGAGGAATGAACAAAAGTGTCTAAATGGAGGGTATATGCAAACTGATTTGACATATTAATTAAAAAAAATAAATTAAGTTATCATCCCTTATAAAAAACATTAAATAAAAGACATACTTGGTCTTATGGTAATCACGAACCCTTTCCCTGAGGATTGCCCCCTTATTTAAAGCATGCCACTGAGTTTAGGAGACATACGCTGAATATGAGAAAGGTGAGGAACAGAAGGAATAATTCTAGAAATCAGAGGGAGCTTTTAGTACAAATGCCAAGTTCACTAATAATTATTATCACAAAGCATCCATAGGAATGGCTGGAAGATGTGATCATGATACTCATGGGCAGACTCAACCGTGAACTCTGTTTTTTCATTTCCCAATTGCCCCTCTGTTACATTGTGCAGATCCTCTGTGAATGCCACCTTCTGCAGCTCCTGATGCACTTTGAGCAGAGGTTCCAAGAAGTATTATTTGCTTTGCATGCGTGATCATGGGATAATTCAGGGACCTCACGAGACCTCTGTCCAGGACCTCACGAGGCCTCTGTCCAACCTTGTGCTTACAGCAGGATCAGCTATGAAATCAGACAAGGTTGCTCAGGGCTCTATCCCATGAGTTCATGAAAATGTCCAGGAATGGAGACTGCACCCCCTCTCTGGACAACCTGCCCTAATGCTTGATTGTCCTCAATTCGTGCATTGTAAATACTTCCTCAAACTTTACCCCTCTCCTCTAGCAGCCTTACGTATGTAAAGAAACATAACGTAGCAAGCCCCTTAGATGCGACACCGCCCAGAAAAGACGATCACAAACCATCACTTAGGTGTCCCAGCTAACAATAACAGACTTGAACAAAATTTAGAAGGATCAAGAAATCGAAGACTTCCAAACAACATTGCTTATGCCAAAAGCTTCCAAAAGTGTATCTTTACCACACCCTGCTCTGGGGAGCCAAACATTTCAGAGGTGCACCTCCTGGCAGTCTCATTCACTTCTCTTTGTACCAACATACTGATTCTAGAAGATGATCTGTTACTTCAGTTCAGTAGTTGCTCGGCACTTTGGGCTTTAAATTTTGCCTCTTTGTGGGCCAAGAGTGACTGCCATTCTCTGCACCACAATGAAAACACACCTTACTAACCTAAAGTGCCTTACAATTAACCAGAATTTTAACTTTGACCTCAAATGGCCTTTCTATTAGGTCTTTAATTAAGTGGAAAAAAAAGTGATGTTGGACACATACAGAGTTTCCACTTCAACAGAATGTCAGTGCAAAAGAAATTACTAAGAAGAGAAAAGCTCCCCTCAAAACTTCCTACAATGAAGGACCAACAACAATAACATTCTCAGTTCTTCCTCTACTAACAACAACAACAACAACAAAATACATTAAGACTGGCAGGATGCCACTTAACTAACAGAACCTGTACTGTCAAGACACAGTCTGGACACCTAGTCTCACTGTCTTCACTGAAGATGAATTCCAAAAATCATGTTGTTTGGCTTAAAACAACTACAATTAAAAAAATAATCAAACTTCGAAGTTTCAATCTGGGAATGCAGACTACTAGTAAAGTGTCAGAAAGGTGACTCCATATGCTTGTCATACAGCCCTATAAACATATGCAATGTCCAAAAGAGTTTGTATCTCAAAAGCAGTGAAAACTGCTGATTTAAATTCATGTTTGAAAACGTGCATCAAACTTAAAGGAGCAGAGCCAAGATCACATCATCTTTTCATTGATATCAGAAGGAACCACATCACAGATCTCTCTTACAGGCTGATAGAGGACCTCAATAATAAAAAAAAGTCTATGATCCTTCCTTTGGTACATCTAAAAGAATGAGGGAATCCTAAAAGCAGTGCTAGAAATATTACCAAAACTGCACGCTACTGAACCAAATAAATATAGTTGTATTGATGGAATACTGTTTACTCAAATTCACTGTGATTCATTATCCTGCATATGTAGACAGTATGAGTAAGACTGCTTCACAGAACACCATGAAGTATATTGTAATCTTGTTTGCATAATAACCCAGATAAAATCATAAATAAAAATACTTTCCAATTGAAATTCCTTGAACATAATTCTGAACTATAGAATATGACAACCATAGAACTGGGTGTAGAAATCTGCATTTGACAAATGCCAATTTAAAAAATCTCATACGCCTTGATTTAAAAAGCACGTGTAGGTTTGGTACTCACTCGGGGGGCTAATATCACTCCTTTTCCCTGTTTTACGGGGGTACAATTACAAAATAGAGAAAACTTCTGCATGTAACTATGCTAAAATGAGACCACAAGTCAAATTTCATCTCCTCTCTCTTGACTTCAAAACTGAAAGAGAATTCAAGAAATTACTTTTCCCCTTCAATTCAGAGGAAACAATAGATTAGGGTACTGTGAGCACAGAAGCCAAAAGACATTCCAAATCATAGTCAATCACCAAGCCAGCCAAACCCCTCTACTCCTCTGCCTTCGCTCCCCTGCTCTACTCTCTCCCAGCTGTATGTGAAGCAGGGGATCAGATCCCTCCACTTCATAATTACTTTATGTTTGTGAAGTGGTTTGAAAATGAAAAATGCTCATTACAGAGCTCAAGCCTGCAGGGCAATGCTTAACAGCAAATATATTTCTGAAATACACTAGCTCAGGCACTATATTGATTACAAGCTGCAGGATATTATTCTAATGCTATCTGAGGGATCACAGTGGCAACAGTTGAAATACCATGTGCAATCCCAGCCACAGCATTTTTTCACTGTATTAGAAAAGAGCTTCGAGATGGGGAATTCCATGATGAGGTATACACAGTCCTACAGGGAGTAATGACTACAGATGCTATTTGCATTAACGTCCTTGTAGCGAGTACCAGGATGATGGATCACGACTGAGACTACAGACATAGCTAACAGTCAGTCTTTTGAAGGGCATGACTCGCTGCATATTGTAATACAGTCGTCTGACAAAAACCTGGGACTCCTGTATTTATGATTTATTTTAATCAAATATCCTACTTGTGGAAAGAGCTGATAGCTTCTTTGCATTACAGAAACAAATACTTTGCGCATGTAAATTTTAGGTCCCACTCTTCTCCAGCTCCTATCGTACATTTTAGACTTGGCAGGATGACAACTGTCATAATTAAATTAGTTGAAGGTAATATTAAAAGGCAGTTTCTGATTTTTTGTTAAAAAGAAGTCAGAGAAAATCTGTGTGTCAGACAAAAGGTCAATGGGAGGGAGGCTGTCTTTGGGGTGTCCTTTTATGATAAAATTACATATGTTTTTGTGCAGTGCAGTTCAAAGAATTAAAAGCAGAATTTAACAAAAGACCTCTTTTCAACACAAAGCATTTGGAGATATTTGAGATATTTTGATATATTTTATTACTTGCTGCTTTTCTGTAACTGTGAAACAGGAACTGTTTTTACCAATTATTTTTTGAAGTGATAGGTGGTAAATATATCACCATGATTTTAAAGAGGTTCCTTCTCCACCATCACCTATTTTCACCCCTTCAGCTAGAGCACAACTACACAAACAGCAGGTTTAGCATTTGGCAAGACTGAAGGGATGGAATAGAATGGACAGCAGGAACTTCGTAATGCAGACCTGCTCACAAACAAACTAAAACTGTTTCCAAAGAGAACAGATCTGGTTTTGGAGATTCCTGCTCACTCATCTCACTCCACCTATTAATTTCTGGACCCAAACCACAACTTTTATTCCCTTGGTTGTACCAAGCTCTGTAGAATTGTTTGCTTGAACACAAGGACAAGATACAGTTAAAAATTACACCTCATCCCTTTTATCAAACTAATAATTTATTGCACTTAGAAGATAAAATTATTAAAAAGTAATCAATCTGTGTTTCTACCAACTGCATTTACCAAGTCAGTTTTCCCAGTCCACACCGTCTCAGTGTATCATCAACATTTCAATCAGCAAGAGGAACTCTCTGAAGCAAACTATTATTTTCTGCTTCCATTTACAGCCAAGGCTGCCTAAAGAGCAGACAGAAACACTTGCCCTGCTTGTTCAGATTAGTGTGAGAACATCGCTGAGCTAGAACTGCAATGCAATAACACCCTCTACTGAGGCATTCTGGCAAAGACCCACAAGGAGAGTGAGGAAGAACAGTAGCATCAAATTTTTCTTTCCTCGCCTCCATCGTTACATAGCTATGCTACAGAAAAACAAAACAAAACAAAACGAGTTATTTTTAAGCTAGATAAACTAGAGCTGTCAAGCTAAAGATGCATAATGGAAATGTATTAAGAACTTGATAACATGGGAATTGCAGTTGGGACTCTAGCCAAAAGTTTCTGTGTACTGCTTTCTTTTTGCTTATTGAGGCTATAATGAATAGAGTAAGGGAGGTCTCAGTAATGACTAGCAATGGACTGTAGACTGGAAATGGAAAAGACCCGATTAATCATACTCTAAAAATAGTAAGTCTCCTCTTTTTTTTAAACACCTAAGCCTACACCGGGCATAAAGTTGGAGTAAGTGTGACCTAGATTTGGAGTTTTACAGAGCATCATGAGCACACATGCATGCATCCATATACTCACCTAGCCTGAAAGTGGTTTTTTGACATATTTCATTTTTTGGATGACCATAAAATCAAATGGTAGTAAGGAGGGTTCATCCATTCAGAAAGCACAAAGCAATTTGTTCTGGTATTATTTTACCAGACACAGTGGCAGCTGAAGCAAACACACCAACTGTGCTTATTTTCAGATGGGAAGTATAGAATCTTATGTTCAAGAAGACTTCGAAGTAGAACGTATGTTAGCACAATTCAGCTTTTACACTGGTATTTGCCCGAGAGATCAGAACTAACAGTACAAATCAACACTAAAAGTGTAGTAGATCAATTAACAATCAAATTGTGTGGGATAAGAATAGACCTCACCACAGGTTTATATATAAATCCAAGACATCCTACACCTCTTTCTGCCGTGTTCACTGAAGCTTCCACTACATTTTACCACAGCAGGCATCCATCATAAAGATTTACATGTTGCCCTTTAGAATAGTATTTTTACCTCACTTTATATCAGAAAGCAGAGGAACATCGTAAAACGTCTCACAACTAAGCAAAAATTGTCACTGTATCGATCAAGGTATACTATGTTTGGTATTCTCCCTCAATTTAAAAAAAAAAAATTACCAGGGTTATACACGCCTCCATATTATCATTATCCTCGGTAATGAAATGACTGAAATGTAAACAATTTGTTTGATTAAAATTGCCATCAAAATCAGTAGTTTTACAACTGCTATAAACTGTAGTTTTACAAATATAGACTTTCAACAATGCCCAAGACAGGTGACTATTAAAATGTGTATTTTCACATAATTTAAAATGCAGAACAGTTAAAGAGTTCATCTTCAAATTCCTTCATTTGTATTCTGCACTACCAATTATCATTTATTTCAGGAAAGGCACCAGCTGTGCAGTTCCTTCTCCGAGAAGAACCACAAAGCAGAGCTGGCATCTGTACCAAAGGAAACAATACACCGAGGGTTTAAAGAAACTCCTTTTAGATTTTCAGATGTAAAGTAACTCCAGGGCTAACTGAAAACTGAAGTGACTCAGACACTTTATTAATTAAAATAATACTCACCAACAAGGAAGAGGAGAGCAGACTTCACTTCGAGCATGTGTTTTTGGTTTTTTTAAACAATAGCAATTAAAAATCAAACCACCTCCAGCTTGTACATTCCATAGTTACTTTCTTCAATATGCATTTAAGTTATGAAGAAATATCTGTAAACACTTACCTCCCTAACAGACAGCTGTGGGGGTAGTGACACAGAAAATACAAAACTAGTGAACTGGTAGTCAGCAGAATTAACCTTTTGGCACACCTGTAAGCAAAGGATTTTAATATTAAACCACAGCGATGGAACTGAGTTGATAATCTTTTAGGATACTCTTTATTCTAACATAATCACCATAAATCCATGTTAATACACATTCAGATAGACGCCAAACATACAAACCAGAGTAATCCCTAACAACTTATTGAAATACAAGCTTTTTTGTTCTGTTGAAAAAAAAAGAAAGTTACTAATAAACTGCATACTTATTTCTACGAAACAACTGAACTCGCCATTTTAAGGCTGAGACCAATTGCTTACTGAAATCTTAGAGCAATGAATTACACCACTGCAACCAAAGGCTAGAACAGCTGACTCAGAATGTCTTTCCTCATGACAGTGACACAATTCTATGACAACAAAAATATTTAAGATCCTGAGATAAGACAGGAACAAAACAGGTATCCACAGTACTAATTCATAATCACTCTTCATCATAAAAAATCATGTTTGTCACTGGAAATAAAGTAAGAACCCAAACACACATCAAACATTTTAAAGTAGGCTAGCAAGAGCTGATGGCTAGATGTCCCTACTGAAAGTAAGCTTAAACACACATGAAGAAGCCGCCCAAATAGTCAGTAATTTTAGTGAATGTTAAAGATGAATGCTAAGCTTTCAAGGTGAAATGAACATCTCAGATAAGGAAATTTCCTTATAAAATAATCAGGTTTTGTGGTGCCTTAACAAATGCTGTCAGATTTTTTCATTGCTACTTAAAAGAGTAGCTCTGAAACAAGTCTTAGAAGTGGATTCTGTAAAAATATATATATACTCTGCCATTGGAAACAAAAAAGAAACATCATGCACTGCTGAACAGAAACTATATACTATGCTTTCTGTTTAGCCCCATTTTTAGATATATTCATGCTATTAAACCAAATTATTTTCTATTAAAATTCTGTTCAACATCTCAAATGCAAGTGGGATTTTTCTCACTAATATTTCAGTTTGTCACATAAGCAATTTTGTGGCTCAGAAATGATGTCTGCAACACTCATTATGCCCATATTCTCTCCTAACTCATATTTTCTCCTTTGTCTACAGCTGGTTGCATCACCAAAACATTTTCTTCCTCTGTGACTTTCTAAGTAGTAGTACATGGTAAAGACAGACTCATGCTGTATTAGAAGCATGTGGAACACCAGGGACTAAGCTGAAGAGCACAGTGTTTGATGCCTCTTTATTTTCCCTTCATATAGCAAAAGTAAAGAGAGGTCACTATTTACAATCAGGTTTTCCTTGTAATCTAACCAGTTGAACCTCAGGTTATCTCCTAAATTCATCTAACCAGGTATCTGTTCGTTCTTTTATTAGGAAAATGTGGTCCTAGCAATCATTCCACTGCACCCACAATGCTCTTTTTTTGAAAAGTTACATTATGACAAGCTCTGCGCAAAATATGGTCACACTGACAAATTTTATTTCCCAGCTGCACAGGAGGTATGCAAACACTTTCACTAAGCAGTACATAGTTGAATGGCGCCATCTACCTTTCAAATATTCAAAACAGGTAAATGTTTCAGTTTGTTTTCCAGTTTCTTTCTCTCAATTGTTTAACTGCACGGTGTTTTTAATCACCAGCTCTATATTTTAGGCCCCAATATACTCAAGCTCCAATAAAAGTACACATAAAGATTAAGAACTGGTTATTTACCTTTTTAACAAAATCAATCTCGCAGAACTCCTGAAGAATTCCCAAACACACATTGCAAACCTCTATAACTGAGTTCTCCACTGCAGTATTTTCATTGATAACCGAAGGAATCTGCTGTAGCGCTCCATTGTGGTTCAGATCATCAGGCTGTTTTTCTGTGTGTTCAAGTCTGATTCTCTTACAAGGTGGATCAACTACATCAGAACAAACTGTATCTTCTTTTTCTTGATTATTTTTCAAAAATTCTTTTAAATCCTTCATCAAATCCTAACACAAACAGAGGAATCATACTGTTGTTGGCTTTCCCTCTTTTCTCCAATGATGTAACAAGCGCTTACAAACACAATTCTAAAAGGCAGTACTAACCATTCCAGTTTAGCCTTTGTGTATATAATTAATAACTTGGAATTTATACCAAAAGACATCTACGCAATAAAAAGCTCCAAGCTGTATTGCTCTCAAATTGTTATCCAGAGAAATTGAACTTTGCTGAACAGACTTCTTTATCATCCAAGAAGAGTGAAAACATTTAACAGACCTGACTTGCAGAAATACATTTATCTTTGGCCCCATCGCTATTCAATGAAAATAGATGTTTATGACCTTTTTGTCATTTAGATTATGTTAGCATTTAATTCCTCTAACTCCATTAGCCCAGATGATTAGGAAGAGAGTTGGCTAGTATAGTTTGAGAAGAAAATGAAAGCAGATACAGGCGAGGGTGAAATTAAATACATAGAGGAAGAACTTAATATAAAGAGAAAAGTCTACAAAAATTAAAGGATGTGCCTGCAAGGAGAATTATCTGCATGTCTCTGAATTCTAGGAAGGATGAGCGACAGAGGCAAGACACAGTTCAGAAAGAAAGATTTATTAAAAAGTCTTCAGTAACAAAGAAAGCAGTTAATGTGTTGTTGCAAGTCAGAGGAAAATTAGGTAGAGATGCAAAAGAATAAAAAATGGCATACAGAATGAACACTTCTCAAATGATTGACGGAAAATGGAAAAGTATAAGGAAGAAAGGTATTACAAATGAATTCTGGAGAGTCTAAACTTGAACAAAGGTGAAACAACCAAGACAGACATCAGAAGACGGAAGCATAAAGACAAGGGATTAGACCAGGTAAATGGAGATGTTTATTTGGCCTATACAATGAGAGAGGTCTCAAAGAACCAATACTGAGGAGGACCAAATAGCCAAAAACAAGTTGAGAAGTATCAAATACAAGAACAAAGGCAATAACGATTGTGCACAGTTAGGAACATTTTGAAGAACACTGAATTTCAGCACTAAAGTCAGCTAAAAAGGATGCCTAATAACACTGTGTTTGACTGACTGAAAAAGGAAGGTTTATCCTTAACCTGTGCTCCACAATTCTTCAGTTACATCCCCCTACCAGTACTACTGAAAAAAGAAGGAAGTATGAGGCAAAAAAGTTTGGAGCATAGATGGTTCCTCCTCTGCATCAGCTGCACTGCCCACAGATCCTTTGCTACTTATTACATTAAAGGGAAAAAAAAAAGAACAGAGGGAACAGTCATACCTGTTCTGCTTCAAAAGTGGTAGAGCCATGCTGTGCAAAAGCTAACACGCTGTTTTCTGGTGTTTTCAGGGAATACATAGCAACTTTCACAGTAAAATTTAGCATTTAACCCACAACAATTGTTACATTCTATGATTCTTGTAATTTCTCAAAATTGCACAGTGTAGCAGCAGTCATTTTTCATAACTCATTTCGCAAAACGTTTTCCTCTCAGGCAAAGACCCCGAGAATACAACCACCTTCTCCTCCAAGGTAGTGCAAAGAACACCGCATTCATATGTTCACACGTTCTAACTAGGAATACAAAGAACAAACCTTGTATGGACATCTATAAAGCGTCTGCGATCCCACGCAGCAGAACCTCAAAATACATCGTGGGCAAGTGCCAGTGTTCAATAACAGCTGAACAATTGGTCTGTCCTTCTCTGTTAGTGACGACATGCTGGGTAATTCTAAAATTAAAAAAAAAAAAAAAAAAGAAAAAAAAGCATAGAATAAACACAACTCAGCAATTCAGCAATAAAAGGACTCACTTAACTGCGCTTTATTTAGAATCACTGGATTTTTTTTGTCCTCTAGAGAAAGTTTAGGATACATGTTTGCCTTAAATCAAAGGCACAACAGAACTGGAAGACCAACCCAAAAAGACCACTGACTCTGGGAAAAGCTTCTGTACTTCCCAGAAAAATCTGAAGTCGAGTTCTGACAAAGGTATGCTGAGCTTTTGCCCAGAGTTTTATCTTTGATCAAGTGCATTACATGACATGTTACTCTCTACTGAATGGACAAGGCAGGTGGAGCTAAGACATATTAAGCCTAACGTAAAACGGAAAATTCCTTCTAAAACTGTAGCAATTAAAGAATCAAACTCTTAAAAAATCACAGGAAAAAAACCCACCAAACAATCAAAAACCAGATGCCATTCCCTTTTGTCATACAAAGCCCTAAAGGCAAAGGAAGTCTTTTCTATCCATTAGCCCTTTCAATTTTTTGAGATTTCTTATTTCCCGTCTCAAATATAGGACTTCTGTTTTTGTGAGAGATCTCACAACGCTTTTTTTTTCCTAAAAGATTATGGATAATTCAGCTTCCCGTTGCTCTCTCTGCCCAGAACTTCAGAGCAGACTGATTTCTTTGGCCAAAATTTAGTATCAAGATAGAACTCTCAGCAAACTTAAGTTCCTACATTTTTAGAAAAATACGGACAAAGAGAGATTCCCAGTGAGGTGCTCACCCTTACTGGGTATCCAGGAAAGTTTAGGAGGCACGTAAGAATAACCACAGCTCTTCAGACCAAAGATTCAATCAGTCTCCTGTCACCCAAAGTGGGGATAAAGAGAGGCCACGGGAAAACATGTGTGTGCAGGGCATATACCTCTGCCGAGCGCTCCCTGCCTCCTCTAACTTCTGGTTTGGGGGGATTCCTTTGACCTCGGGTGGTTTGCCTGTCGGTAAACCTTAACAGGTCTTTCCTCCAATCCTTCTCCAGCGCCTCTCCGAAATCCTTTCGCCTCTGCATCCTTTGGCAGAGGAATTCCACGTGGAATTCCGCAACACCCACTGACAGATGAACCACCACACCGCAGCCCCCGCCCGCCCCCGCCACAACAACCGGGCACGCCATCGCGACG